CCACATGCTCCCCTACCCCACACACACCCACACCCCCCACACCTTCCCCCACACCCCACATACTCACAGCCCCTCCACAAACCTGTACCCACGCATCCATATTCCCCACAGCCCCCTACATTATACAAGAGCAAGATTTTATTTGAAGCTTTTATAAGATCACCTCTATGTATACTACATAAAAGCATGTAAATCAGGACAAAAATAGTTTTAGAAATCAAATTAATTAATGTTGTAGTAGATGTTTGATGTTTAGAATATAATTTGGTATTTTTCTAGTTCCATGAAGGTAAAACCCCTTGGTGAAAGGAGTACTTCCAGGGGCAAGGGGGGCGGGGACACTTCTGGTGGCAAAGGTCAGGGGTTAAGGAGCAGGACTTCTGGTCAAGATGGCGACCAGGGGGTGGGGCACCTGTCAAGGGGCAGGGCTACCCCTGCAGCCCTTGACAACTTGCCAAAACTCGGTAAGCAGCCCTCCACCCAAAATATTTGCCAGCCCTTGCTTTAGACGTATCTGCCAAAGCTGAGACTACTAGGAGCTTGGAAGAAAGGATCTCTGAGCAACAAAATGTGTCACAGGCTCAAGGCCTGTTTGCATAGGGATACTTGAGAAAGTTAAGATGAACTAAGAAAGATGTGACACTACAAAGCATTCATTCTCTGTATGAAGATACCCTTGTTTGAGGGCTAAACTAAAGCAAGATAAAAGCCACTTAACTTCTGAATGGGAGTATACACACAAGGATTGAAAACACTAGCTTCACAACTTTACTTAATCTGCTTTTACTTTCCTAAGTATTCCCATGTAAACATGGCCTTTATTTACACCATCATATCTGTACCAGAGCAAAATGCTCATTATGCACAATGAACCAGGGTAAACTGACCTGCACTGTTACCCTAATAGCTTGTTTCAGTATCTAGAGCAGTGGCTAAAACCCTAGTGTAGATACAGCCCAGAAACTCCACTCCTCAACATGGCCTTCACTCCCCCTACATCCGTGCTATGCAGGGCTTCACTTTTTGCTTCACATTAGGACTCAGCTCTTAAGGCTCTTTCTCAGGACTCAGCTCTTACGGGTCTAAAAGTCACCACTGAATGTCTGACCATCATCTATCACCACTACCCCTTGGAGAGAAATGTTTAAGATCTTGATATCAAAGAAGCAAACCTGTTTTAACTGCTGGTCTGAGTAGCCCAGCCAAGCACATGAAGTGGTGTAAGCAGGATATCCATGTGTAAACATTTGTTCTTCTGCAAAGACAAAGACCATCATGATGAAAACGTGGTTTTTCTATTCCATGGATGGCTATGTTGTAAGACAATTTTACTAAAACTGCTTCTCGTGGAGATGATGACCTTAAAAAAAGTGTTTTAAAACAGGACAGGTCAAATGTGTTGACAAAAAATGATCCTGTTCTCTCCACAATCACTCCCAAACTCAACAGAGCTGCAGCCCAGGAAAAAAAAACCATTACGATGCAAGAAGCAGCATCACCATGCCAACATGGCTGACAAACATTCATCACAGCAGGGGCCAGCAAGGCAGCACAAATTTGCTCACCATATACGGCTTCTACCTCCCCCATGACTCATAAGGAAGCAATTTTATACAATGCAAATGAGAACATCAGTTTTCAACTCCCAGTTTTCTTCTTAAAGAATAGGATTCTCACCCACAAGTGCCATATTTAGGGTGCGGACACATGACAAGTACTATGGAGAAATGCTGTAGTAAGTGTACTCAGTAGTAAGAATAGGCACACAGCCAGCTCTTCCAAGCTACTTGCTCACAGCAGACACTATTACAGCACCTGGCAAGGAGGCAGCAAGGGAGCTGGTTTGCACCCGAGTAAGTGGGTACCTTTGGGATGGTACTGATTAGGAGAACAGACACACAAGACAGTCTATGCAGTACCGTCCCCATGTAGTAAAGTTTATTCAGTTTTACCCTGGATTTGAATGACTAAAGTCATCAGCCTGAGCACCATGCATCTGCTCCACTTTTACTATGCAGAAAAGTCCATTTATTTCCCGGTGAACATGTCATGTGTCCATACCATAATACTAAACAAAGTATTCGGTCCCATTATGTTTCTAGAAAATAATTATCATATATTTTAATTTAATAGCTTACCTCTTTCTTTTTTCCCAAGTAGGCTATTTATGAGTATTTCTGCAAAGGAATGAAGGGGAAATATTACATGAATGGAAAGTACAATTCTTTCCCACCCCCACCATTCTGCTGTTTTCAGAAAGCCAGACGCTGATCTTCTTACAAGGAGTGAACTAATCCTCCACTAGTCCTGCTGAAATCAATGAAAGCTCAAGGAATAAAGGACGCAAAAGGGAACCACAATCTGCTTCTTAATGGAAGGATGACTTACCATAAGCTTCTTCTTCTGTTAGCGCATCGGTGATATACCTGAAATCTATGCAGGATAACAACTGCTTGGGATCCTGGTCAAAGAATATTTAGTGTGAAACAAACCACAAAGAATAAGATGACACAATTACAAAAGGGCAACTCTTAGATAATACACATATCAAAGCATGAGACATCCATCAGCATTTTCCTAGTTTCCCTTCCATAGAAAGTGCTGTGTACAGGTACATCAGTTCACTGATTAGCCAACACAAAGATTCCAGTCTTGTACATAATTTACTAATATCAGTATAGATAGGGTCCTGTCACCATGTGTGTTGTTATACTGGGACAGGGAAGGGTCTGTAACAATGACCTGATAAAAAGGGATGGTTTATCTAGTTGGGTATGGCCAGAACCAGCTTTCCACAACTACCTAGGAAGGAAAAGATCTTTCAGAGCAGAAACTAGCATCCGCACCTTGCAGAAACTCAGGTTTCTAGAACCTTGGCACATGCTGTATAGATGTAATTTTAGCTTGGATACAAGCCAACATTTTTACTCTTAATAAAGCAAAAACTTCAGTGCCCAACAGCCATCATGCCTCACACAGAACAGGATTGTCTTACCATGTCAACTAGTAGCTTCCACAGAGGCTAGAAAACAAAACCGATTATATAATGAGAAATGATGGATATCCAACAAAGCAGCATACAAACAATTCCTTACAAAAAGTAAAGCCCCTGTGAAGCCCCAGTGAACTTGATGGTGCACATACTTCTGTGAACTAAAAGTTAAGCACATGCATAAATCACTGCAGAGTCAGGACCTAACTCCGCAAAAGATGGATAATTAGGAGAATGCAGTATGCAGTAACATGCTTGCCTACCAGGTCTAAATACATTACCTTTCCCTCCTGCTTAGCCCACAGATCCCACACGGCATTCAGAATAGCAGCTGTTGCCAAATGAACAGCTCCTTTTTCTGGACCAATCTGTGGGCAAAAGATAAAAGACTCACATAGACACAATTAACAATTTACTATTAAGTGGAAATTAAGTCATCACATCAGTCACAATATTCAGCCAAACAAAATAAAACAGAAACCCAGGTCAAGGAAAAATGAGCCAGTGACACTAAAAGACAACCTTGTATTTACTGGAAAAGGTGGGAAACATCTGAACTTGCTATGTATTAGTTGCAATGTAAGAATACCACCATGGCATTCTCCATACTGGTCTAGCTGGATTTTCCATTTCCAAAAACCCAAACCTAATAGAACCATTTTGTGATCATGTGAGTCAATGAATGGAGAACAAAAGAGAGAGGAAAAAATCTGATCTCTGAACAGGCAGAAAGCACACTTAGGAACCCAGGCCTTCCTTCTGTTAGCAGATCTGTGTGGGTAGATACTAGCATTCACTTGGAAACCAAATCAACAGAGCTCTGCATGGGTAGAAGTTGAGTAGATATAATTGCAATGTCCCAGCTTGCATAAAATTAATTTTCTTTTTCTACCATAACTGTACACAGGGGTCAAGGTCCTTCTGAGCCTAGTGGCCAGACATTAGTGTCTACAACCACAGACACAAAAAAGGAGAGATGTGGCTAGCACTGCCGTCAACTTGCACTTACTCCCCAATCTGAATTGACTAGGTTCCCATTTACAGTCAGGTCAAAAGGGGCACAAGTCCAATGTGGGGCTTGAACCCATCCCTCTGGAACTGCTGCAAGATTCCACAACTGTTCTGCAACTATAGCCTCCGAATGCAGAGAGGGACTTAGGTGAAAATACATTTATATATCTATTTCACATGAACACCCCAGATGCATCTTACCCATCGGAGCTGCCCATCACTGGTGAGTTGCCTGTAGAAATTTCTAAAATTGCTGACAATTTCTTCCATGTCTTTATGAACCACGTGGGTGGAGAGAGCATTAACAGCACAAACAACTGCAAAACACACCAGGATATGTCGCTGAATTACAACAAAACATTTAGAAAAAGCATTCACACTACTTTTACCACCATTTCAGGATGCAATGCTTTCTGAGTGGCTTAACCTAGTGGTCTGAACCGGCAAGAGGGAGCCAGATTTGGCATATAACTTCAGCTCTGCCATGGACTGCTAGTGTCTTCAGCCAAGCCACACAACCACTCTCCCTCCTATGTTTCCATCTTTGTTACATGAGGTTCACAATATTTTCCTCAGAGGGCTGCCAGAAGGATCAATTAGTTTGTAAAGGGCTGTGAAGATGCCTCTATTGTCTCCTGCCACAAGTTAAAAATCTAACCTACTAAAGTAATGTGTACTAGTAAAAATAGAACAGCTGCCCTAAAACGCAGTAGGAAAACAGCAGTTCCATGAATGTGGTAGGCCTTTGGCAGGTATAGTACATATCTCACAAAAGAAAGGGCGCTGGGAGCCACAACAAATTTATTTTTTCTATTATGTAATTTTGTTTCTGAGCATTATATAACAGTAGTTCCAACCCAGCTGTTTCAGCTCCTCAGGATCCTAATGGAAAAGTCTTGCTTGTTTCAGTGCCATATTCCACTATTGATCTCATCAGGAATTCCCAGCAGGGGGTTTTGTTAGTGCAGAACACATGCTAAGTAGGAAAGTATCTGCTTACACACACAGTTCTAGCAGGCTGTAGAGGGTAGGGGGGCAATTACAGAAAGGACACATGCGTTAGGAATGTTACTATCATCTAAACATTTTCATTAACAGAAGAGACAAAGGAAATCTTAAGAAGAAACTGAACAGATCTTAGACCAATCCTGCAAGCCACCATTGCAAAGGCACTAGCTTGAGATCTGAAGACCTGGGGTCATGCCTCTGTTCCATCAGACTTACCCACGTGGCCATGAGCGAAGCACTTCTGTGCTTCAGTGCCCCATCTGGAAATCAGGACTAATACCATTTGCCTACCTCACTGGGGCATTGTAAAGACGAATACATGAACAACTGTGGGGTGCTCACACCCTACAGTATTTGGGGCCACTTAGGTAACTAAAATACCTCAGCTCCCATTAACTTGAATGAGAGGCGGTTACTCAGCATGATACCAAATCCAAGCCATGCACAAAGAACCAAATCCTAGTCTTAATAACGGTAGTGGTTAAACTCCCCAAGTGGATACATGAACAAGAACTGACACATTCAAGCTGGCATGTATGACTACATACAGCATATTAGTATATTTAGAGATTATTTTTATGAGGATACAGACAAAAGTCTTGCTGTTTTTGAGCAGAAATGGTTGTGAACATTTGCTCATTTTCTTTTAGAATGCAACAGGCGATCCTTTTTTGAAGTGGGAATGGAATTAGTTCTTTAAATAAATATGGATCTAGGAAGACAAAGACATCATATTAATCTGATCAAGGGTATCACATATGTTAGAATGGTTTCTTAGAGGTTGTCAGGCATTTACTAATCTCCAGACTTGAGTGGCAAGGGTTTAATGGATTACAATTGTTACTGTCATGCTGTGATCCAAGGACATTGCTAGGCAAAAGGTTACTAGACAGTAACATGTTTATAAGAGTTGCTTGGAGACCAGCATGAACATTTTCTAAGGAAAAATAGTGTGTATTAGTTATAGGACTTAAAGGTGCAAGACTTAAAACTGCGTAATAACTTTAGAGCTTGGACACAATTGTGTCCTCAATGAAAAAAAGCATTAAGTCACCCCAAGTTAGCTTCCATTTACCATGGGCAATGTATAAGCAGTGACAGCAGAGCGAGTAGGTGATGCACAGCACCCATCTGCTCCTTTTGACCCCACAGTAAATTGTTCATAGGTCCATATATGAACAATTTAGGAAGTGAGGGATTGGACCTGCATTGCATCCCACTGTCTCAGGCAGCGTGTAAGGAAGATACAAATCAAGATTCAGACATATGCTAAGAAACAGTTGTTAACTTCTGACAAGTCCTTATAGGCATACAGTAGAGATACGGAATTGTTAGTGTTTCAGTTGTTCAGCTGTTGAGATGGCTCTGTGTACTTGAAAGCTGGGCTTTCAATTGCTTATACTTGTGTAATCTGTACATGCAAAAGATTCATACTTTGCAATGGTATAAGAACACAAGAACATAAGAACTACTATTTACTAGCTCAGACCATAGGTCCATCTTGCCCAGTATCCCTTGTCACACTGTGGCCAAGACCAGATGCTGAAAGAGTGAACTCGGCATGATCAAGGTGTTTTTTTCCCCACTGTTCCTCTCTCACTTGCAGTCTCCAGCATTTAAGGCATAAGAAGTTCTAGTTCAGAGGCTGTATCCCTAGTTCCTGTGCTCAGTAGCTCATGATGCCCCTTTTTTCCAAGAATTTGTCCAATCTTTTTATGTGCTATGTAAATATGGGTCAAGTACTTAAGCACCTGCTTCAGCCTAGTCCTCTTTGCCTTTTCTTGCCAGCACTGATAACACAGAGAAAACAAAGCTGATAGGCAGATACTTGATAGTTCATTTTATTTCATTTAAATCAAGTCCCCAGATTTCCTTACCACTTTAAATAGTGATTTCCTTTCACTGATCCATAAACAGTGGTAGAGCTCTAAAGGGGCATTTTTCTCCATGAAAGAGCAACAACACTCTTGAAATGAGTGTTGAATGAGTATTGAAATGAAGCAAACATCACTGAAACACCCAATAATCTGTTTGCTAAGCATCTTCTTCCTCAAGGGCTAGGGACAGAAATCACAAATAAACCAGTATAAGTGATTGGAAACTGACTCAAATCTGTAACAGAACAGAATTTCGATTCACACAAACTGCTTTAAAAAAAGCTGAAACCAGTTTAAGATAAACCTGGATGGATGCAGTATCAGACCTAACTGAGTTAGGTTAAATCAGTTTATTGAACTTGTGTCAGATCCCCTCCAGATTCAAGTTAACTCTCAGTCCCCCAGCATCCAAGGATGCTTTGCACTCTCCTGCAAACCCCGCCTCACAGGATGGGCAGGCTAGTCCTGGCCCAAGCTGTCTGATCCAGCAGAGCAGGGAGGTGTTCTCTACTGCTCCCTGGCTTCTGGCTTGGGCCACTGTAAGCAAGTGGCTGCATTTCTGGAATCAAAAGTGAAAGAATGTCTATTCACTTGCTTATCAGTTCAATCTACGCATCTTAGATTAACCTGCAAAGATTGAATGGATTCAGCCTCGGGCTTTTTGACAGTCTGTTCGAGGTTCTAGAATGTCATGCCTTAATGAGACAGAAATAGAAACTTCTTGACCACAAACCCTGGTATTAAGGGGACATGACACAGGGAAGTTTGTGAAAATTCTATTCATTTCAGAGAAAAGGAACTTGATCCTGTAGGTTCCAACACATTTATAGCACATGCAAACATTAATTAGCAAAACAGTCCCATTAAGACCACTCACGTGCTTACAGGCATGCTTGGAACAGGATGAGAGCATTTGACACGCTGTAAGATCAAGCTCACATTTATCACAGACGTGCTTCCAATGGTCACGGTTCAAACATGTTGAGAGGTACGTTTAGATCAGTGGTTCTCAAAAAATTTAGGTTGAAACCACCCCTTGGTAAATGCTGGCTTTTGGCGTTCACTTGTTTCTTGACTACAGAAAAATAATAGGGCAATGCTTCTGTGACAAAGAACTCAGAAATACCACAACAGGTCAGAATGTTTTGTGACACTATGAATTCCTAGTTGAAATTTCTGGGTTTATCTTGCGAATGACATATTAGTGTTTGGACATCTAACAGAACTAATGTTGTGCAGCACCTGGAACAAAAATCTCACACCACCTGAATCGTTGGTTTAGAACTTTAAATTATCAGGAGAAATGAAAAGCCCAAAAACCTAGTCTGTCAAGAAAATGTTTTGAAACTTTTCCAGTGTCCATAAAGTTGGATGGCCTTGTACAAATGGCACAGCCCACCTAGGGCTCCAGATGTTACCAATTAATAGAGCTGAATTGGCATTAACTTTTGCTAGTGTCTGCAGACAGGGCAAAGGAGCTTTAAATATAAGAGGCATATAACCTCTACTCCCCTTTCCTAAGAATAAAAACAGACATGGACTGTCCAAGACCATATCTTAGACATACATAGTAAAGTTCTTAGATTCCTGAATTGCTCAACTGTGAAATACCTTCTTAATAAGTTAACAAACTGTGTAATAATTTCAACATTTATACATTAGAGAGAATATAAATCTAGCCACCATTTGCCTTTATTCCTTTATTTTTAAAAAACTTTTCCAGTGCAGTCAACACTCATGCTGGTGTTTTACAAATATGACATATACAATCCTGATCTTTCTAATCAAAGGCCTTGAAGCTGTAAAGGGAAATGAACAGATGGATGCGAGTAGATGGGAAGTCAAAGGGACTCTATAAATTATTCCCTGGACCTTCACATAGTTCTTTGTGGAATCAGGGCTTGAATTTAAAGCCAGTGCAAGTCACTGATACTACTGAAAGTATCACTGGGGATAACAAAAGATTTGGCAACAATAAGAATTTACATGAAAAAGCATGACTGTTAACGGGATGGGATTTTTACCATCCTGTGGAAATGCCATCATGGTATATACAAAACTAATGCACTCTTGCTGATGCTATCTTCCTCCATCTCTTCTAAATGTCTGTGTGCATACACCAATGATCAGCAAGGGTTAGAAGCCCAATCCTGAATACTCTACGGCAACTGCAATTTTCAGTCACCCGTTTCCTGTTTTTATAAAGCAAGGAGGGAAACAGAGAAATGCAGGAGATGTTAAAGCTTAAAACGTTTACAAGGCATTTGTTAGTTTAGAATCAGACAACTGCACGCAGGATCACAATTCTGAAACAAGCTGTCTTATGGGAGTCTGTAAAAGGATTTTGCAAGACTGGTCAAATAGGTGACTGATTAGAACAAGGATTTAACACACTGGTTAACTTGCAGCCTCTACAACCCTGGACTTTATGGCGTTCTACGCTGTTCCAACAGCTGTCACTTATAAAAAGATATTGTGTGAAGGCAAAATCGTTCCCTGTATTTCCTTCGAAAAGACCCCAACAACATTTTCCATTGGACTTGGGGCTCATTTGAACGTCAGGGCATAATAATAACTTACCAACTTCTGTGCCTTTACCCAATGTAAATGTTAAGCCATAACCTTTGAGTCCGTCATGCGCATCGGTTTCGATTACTACATAGGCAGCAGAATAGTCAGGGTCCGGGTGCTAAATTGAAGACCAAAAGATTGGTGCGAGAAACTTAACAGAGGAAGGCAGGCACCAATTCACCCACATCCTAATCACATACCTGAAGTAGCAGCACTGTGAAGGACTCCCCCAGGCAAGCTAAGTTTGGTGCAACAGAAACAGAAGCCTGGGGAACTACACAAATCATCCCCTCCCTCCCCTGCAGTGTTTTTTAATTCCAGCCTTTTAGGGAGTGACATGCTGAGGGTGTTACGCAAATCTATTTGATGCGACTGAACGTTAAAGGTTCACGAAGGAGGATCTTGAGCCTCGGGAAGTTCATTCTTCCAGTGATCTCAGCCGCTTGCCTCTCCGGGGACAAGCTCCCTTGGCGACTGTGCCCCTGCCAGGGTCCAGCAGCTGAGACCTGTATTGGGCACAGCCCAGTCCTGCGAGCCCAGAGCAGCGCTTTGGGACCGGGAACCGCCCTTAGCAGCGGCGCTTACCATAGCATCGGAGCCATGGTGGCCCAGAGAGGTGGGGAAGCGCACGTCGCTCACAGCCAGCGCGGTGATCCGGCCCCGCACCATGCCGGCCCAGCAGCTCCCCGACCACAGGCACTAGGAAGTAGCCGCTGGAAGCCTCTTCCAAGTCCGGAGGCCCCGCTCCGCTCCGCTCCGATTGGTGCGCCTACTTCCGCCTCACAATTCCGATTGGCCGCTTGGGGCGTTCTAGAACTTAAGAGACACAGTTGTGGAATACCGAAGGGCGGAGGGAGGGGAAACAGGAGCGGGCTGTGGGGGGAGGTGCTGACTAGCGTTGCCGTAGCCGCTGCCAGTCTTGGCTTGTTTAAATATCATCTTGCCAAGTTGCAATTAGTCTCTAACTTTCTGCCGCCTTTGGATTGCGGGGATATGGTCTGGCTTCTAGCAATACTAGCCAGCCAGGAAGTCGCAGTTTCACATCACGGTCTGAATGTGGTTGCACCCAGAGGCAGGATTTGAGCCTCCTTCTTGATCCTTGAGGGGAGCAGAGCTGCTTGCGGGGGAGAAGAAACAAATCAATGCACACGCTCTTGCGCTTTATGTTCACATTATGGATTAAAAGGGACGCATTTGTGACAAGACTGGAGAGAATCAGTCCAAGTTTAGCAACATGCTGTCACTTCCTGTGTAAAACTGAGAGTTCATATTAAAAAAAAAAAAAGGCGCCAGCTGCCAGGAGATTTAAAGAGTCAGCTGCTGGAGTCATGTGAGACTTGGTTTTATAGCAGCAAAACAACAACAAAAAAGATAAGCTTCTAGCCCCCAGGTATAGGAGAGACGCTGGAACATAGGGCAGGAAGGGACCTGAAAGATGAAACAATCATAAAGCTAAAAATATTTTAATAGTGTACAAACTATATTTGTTTAGAAAAGCTAATAAGGAAACACAGGGTTTGACTCCTAATTTTTGAATGCTTGAACTTGCTGATAATGAGGGCTTTCTTGGGATGTCTTCTTAGCAACCAAAGTAAAATAGCTGTAATGACTAGGAAATTTAGTTGTCTGCAGTTTACAATGTCATTGGTCTGATCTAATATGGCAATTCCAATGCTTTTACTTTGGAAGAAGTATAAATGATAAAATTAAACAGGATTTCACGCTAGCTTTGGTACTGTATTTTAGACAGCAAGACCACATTCTACTGCCACTGGCAATGAAGTGTTAGAAATGCTACCAGCATTTACTATGAGAGTTAGTGACCATCTAGATGAATAGATAGATTCAATCAAAGGTCTTCCTGTTGAAATACAGAACAGTTACAGGTTAAAAAGATGGTGTTCAGCGGACAGACGGCAGGTCTGCCCAGTACAATGCTGGTATCTATCACCTGCAAGCGTAGGGCTCGGGTACAGCAACACAATCATACTACATTACTAAGCAAAATACTGCTTCCCCTATCTGTAGCTTGGATATCTCTGCAGAGCACTGCCTTGTACCATATAGACATACCCTAAAGAACAAGACCATTTTCTGATATCCTGCGTAAAACTAAGTATTGTTTTTTCAGGAGGAGGAACCTGCAATGGTAGGAATAGGTCCTCCACAGAGCTCAATATGGGTGAACCCAGTCTCCTGCTTGGATTTCCATTAAAATGTTTGGGACTACACAAGCAGCACAGAAGAATGTACATACGGAGAATGCGCAAGATATTGATGAAGCACTCAGGAGTATACTTCTCATGGCTGGGACCTCCTTACTTTATCTGTAAAGCAGCCAACACTCCCCTGGACCTGTAAGTGATGATAAATATTTCTTAAGGTATGGACATCCAGACGACCTACCAGGAAGTAAATCAGCATATCAGTTACACTACAGTAAATCTTCTTATGTATGCTCTTCCCTGGTGGTAAGCATGTTAAACTATGGTAGTTTATTTCTCAGTGAAAGAGGGGTTAGTTAACAAGCTGACATAATAAACCCTCACCCACTTTAGCAGCACAGTTGTTCATACATCCATATAGATGCATACCCATAGCAACCTGATAATTTCACAACAGTGTATCAGGAAGCCCTAGCTGGTAGGAAAGGATGATAGTCAGGCTATTGAAAAGGTTTTCCTAGGAAACAGTTCTGTAAAGCTCTTTTCCTGACACTGCTACTTACCTACTGAGAGAACTTAGCCAGTCACTTTCCCTTTCTCTGCCTCAGCTTTTGTAAAGTGCTTCAAGATCTAAGGATGAAAAGATCTAGCTGCTGCAATTTAATAAGGAAGGCACCTCAGAAACCCCAGACAGATACTGTAGCTAGATAGTTTGATCAAAGGGAGCTTGAGTGTGGAACAGGTGTGTATTAGTTAACAGCTCAACATCTCAGACAACTGGCTGACTTGGCAAGGTCAAGATACTGCTAAGTGGCTGAAACCCATTTTTCAGTCCCTAGCTGCAGAGGGTTTACTGTTTGCCGATCACCTTAATGTTAGAACTGAAACCAAGGGGAGTATCTGTTGGTAAGTACCATATATGCTTGCTATCTACTTTACTTAATTCAATAACAGCCTTAAGTATTTGGGCTCTTTTCATGCCAGTTCCTCTAGAGGTTACTTTTGGCTTTTAATAATCTACTCACCTTACACTGTAGACCTAACAAAGCAATCAGACTGTTTCCACATGAAAAATCTCTCTGGAAGTAGCTGTCTTTCTGACAAATGTTTTAAGAAGATTAAATGTAATGCTTTCAAATTCAGTGCTTCTATAAGCACTTGCAGGCTGAACATTCATTCTCTTGACTGGTTAGTACAGGAGACAGCGAGGCACCAAAGGAAGCCACTGCAGCCTCCTACAGTGTGCAAGAGCAGGTTTCCAAGACTGTATTTCTGCTTTTAAGTAATCATAAAACTGATCAATCATAAAATTAAACATAAGCATAGCAAAGAGAAGGTGCATCACTACACTACAAGGGAAAAATCAATTAGCATGGTGGATTGGATAAATGAAGACAATCTATCACCAGATGAAATCCAGGGAAAGTCAAGGAAAAATAAATTATGAGCATATGCTAGATTTTTCAGGGACATATGTAAAATACACTGGTAGGTGCATCTATATCATAGTGCTTCCTTCTTAAATTCTAGCTGAAAGATTAAAGAATTGTGCAGCTGCAGCATAAAATAATGTATTAGCAGGGTACCTTATAGTGCTCCTTTTACTCTAGCTATTGATAGATACCAGCTTGACCACTTGACTGTTGTATCACATACTCAAATTCACTATTTTATACAGAATTTCCTTTTTAAACTTCTGATTTCTTCCCAAGTCCCTGTCAAATATTGATAGAGATCAGGCTCATTCGTTTTTGTTTGATGGAAAGTGGTATCAAAGACCAAAGCGTGTTTCTACTCACCTAAATGAGTAGCAAATTTACAAGGGGTGCTGTTCCAGAGGAGAGTATGAACAGTTTGAAAATGTCCATATTATAGCAGTAATTAAAAATTTACCAAAATGCATGACTTGGTAAATGAAAAAAATGTTTAAACAGGCAACAAAGTGTTGTACATACAGCAGGTATGCATTTAGGCTCTAACACAACTGGAAAAAAAAACCCCAACTAGATTCTATAAAAACTAAGGCTCCTGGTCCCTAAAGCAAGAAGCTAGAACCTTGTGTCAGGTATCAAAACATTTTATACAGTTCATGGGGAAAGTCAGACACCTTGGATTGAGAAACCCATACACTGAAGAAGGAACTCCCTGAAGGCAACCAAAAGAAACCAAAGCACAGATGCCATCTAATAAGACTCTGCCCTTTGAAATCTAGCATGACTTAAGACTGCAAGCAGAAGCCTCCATATACTTGGGATCCTGAATTCTTTGGCCTTAGGCAGCCATACCCAAATCCTTCAAAAAACTGAGCAAGGCTTTTTTTTCAGTAGGAGAAAGAGGCAGCCTAATTTGCCCATATACACTGCAGCAACATTTCTGCATTTTCTGACAGGCTGGTGGAAATACAAGATTCTACATCTTTTGATAAAAGTTTAAAAATGGATGTTTTATGGCATTAAACATACTAATATTTATAGTAGTCCCTTTTATTTTGGTATTAAACTTGGATAATACAGTCTTTCCATACTTCCAGTTTTTTTGGTGTCACAAATTTGCTTGGGTTTCAGAGCCATCATCATAGATGCATGGCATATTGTAACTGGTCCATTAGTTATTGTTTCAGATTGTAAGCCTTGGTTTAAAACTTCACTTCTTCAGGTCTTCATGATCATAAGAACTCAAAACATATGAAAAAATAAAAAATAAATAAGAACATTCTATGTTTGCAAGATCTAAAATAGCCTTCCTTTTTCTCTAAAAAGCAGGATCATACAAACAATTGTACTTCTGGAAGTTTAATTACTCAAAAAAAGTATGAACTTTTTTTTAAATACCAAAGCTCAAGAACAATACACGATGGGAACAGCTTGCAGATCTACCACAAAGATGCATAAGACAAAACTGATGGACAAAGTTTGAATACAGATTTTACCAGAAATATTACAGAATTGTTTCCATTTAAAAAAAAAAAAAAATCAATAGT